GCCGCTTCTTTACCTGTAATATGGGAATGTGTGACTCACTTGTTATGAGAATCAAATAAAGTGATACTTGGGAAAATGGCCTGTAAGAAATCAAGAATTGTCTAAGTATAAAGAAGCAGCAGCAAGTAAGATTTTCGAGCCTTTATTGTATGTCAGAAACTGCTAAGCCTTCCACAAGCATTATCTACTTTGATCCTCAAAACATTCCTAAGAGGAGGATGTTATGATCCCATTATCCTCATGAACAGTGGGGACCGAGAGAAGGTAAATAACTTGCCCCGCGTTGTACAGGCTGAGCAGACTTCAACATTGAACCCAGACTGAGCTTCTCCTTCTGACTCCTGCCTCTGCACCGAACGCGGAGGTGAGTCGTCTGAGCTTTGCAGCTGTGTTCCCAGGAGCCGCATTGACACTTGGCATTGTTTGCTTTTTCCAGATCATCTATTTCACATTTTTGAGGTGTTTGCACTAAAAGATCAGTATATTTAGGCATGTATTTTGGGATAGAATATTCAGTTGGGATGCCTTCAGCTGCAAGTAACAGAAAATGAAAATTCGTTTGGCTTAAACAAAACAGACATTTTTTTCATAATATACAATATCCAGAGATGGTAAACTCGAAGGTTGGTTGAGTCAGTGACTCAGTCGTGTCACCAAGGTGTGAGGAGCCTGGGTTTGCTGTTCTGCTGCCCTTAGCATAGAACTGGCATCCTTCCTAATCGCAGATGGCTTTAGCGGTTCCTGGTGTTCAGTGGCAGAGAGATGCTATCTCCTCTTGGTTCTTTTTCTTAAAAGTATGGAGACCTCTCCCAGAAATGCTCCAGCAGGTATCTCCTCAGACATCACCGGTCAAAACCAGGCCCCCAGTCAAGAGCCTGGGGGTGACAGGTGTGGCTGGCTTGGGGGGGCCCCTCCCCCGGTGAGGGGCGAGTGGGGCTGTGTGGGGGTCTCCTGGCAGAGAGGCCCAGAGCGGTGGCCGGGCTAAAGATGGGCTCTGTGTTTCTGTGCCGGGTTAGTGCTGGACTTAATTGTGTGATTCGGGGAAAATCATTTGACATCCCTGTGTTAGAATTTTGCCATTTTGAAAATAATATCTGTCTTATAAATCTGATTGCTAGTGTATGTCTCAGTTCTTTTCTTCCAATTAGTTAAGATTTTTAGTGTTTTTAGTAAGAAATCACTGAATAATAAACCCAGTCTTAGGGGTGATTATGAGGGTTTTGGGGACTAGGAGATGGTGTTTTGACCGGAAGACACAGCACTTTTCAAATTCTGCCTGGCTCATTTAGGTGCCTGAAGGAGCTTCACGTGTGGAAAATGAAACACTAGCAGGCGGCCTGATGCTTCGGAGCTCAGCATGGAGCTCGCTGCGGAGTGCGTGGCCTCCTCACCGCCCAGGCTAAAGCCAAAGCTCAGTTTCAGGATCCGCCACCCCTTTCTTGCACCCTTGCCCTGCCAGCGGCTTGCTGTGTCCGCGATTGAAGAGGGAGGTGCTGAGCCCGCGCAGGCCTCACTGTGTGCGTGGGCTTCTCCCTGTAGCAGGGACTGTGCTCCGCTGCTGGTGACTGTGGCCAGGCCCATCCCCGTCCCTCTGAGGAGGAGGGAGGAAGGGAGGGACTCCTCTGGGGCTAGGACAGTTTCTTAACAGTTCTTTTCCTAGAGCCCTCACTAGACATCAGACCTTTGTCTTTTGCTGTATCTGAGATCAATTTGTATTTGTAAAAATAACAGTGCATCATAAATGTTACTGAAGTTTAAGAATCAGGTGAATTTTAAATATTGAGTACAGAATGGAAAGTTCTGGGTAGCTGTGGGTTTATCTCTTTCAGTGCCACCAGTTTGAGCATTTTAACTGTTGAGGGTAAAACTGGTTTTTATATGTGCCATGTACATCCTGTTTTTTTAAATTTTAGCTAAATATATTGAGCATAATTTAGTTGTCAGACCTGTGGGGACTGTGCAGTCTTAACCATTTTGCCACGGCATTGTATTTTTGGGTTTCGTGTCTGTATTTTATGCGTCTTTACTCGCTGTCACTGTGTCATAGACCCTTTCTTAATGTCGTCCATTCTTAGTGCGAGCAGCCCCTCTTCACCCTCTGCTTCCATGGCGGGCAGGGAGCGCCCAGTCAAAACGAAACTCCACAGGGCAGGATGAGGGACACAGAAGCTCCCGACGTCTCCGAGTCACTTCATGTGCCCTCTTTCTAAGCTGTGTCCTTAATATGTGAGTTTGGAATTGATCTTCTTTAGATGAGGACTTTTCTTTTTTTACTTCTTTTTCTTCTTTTTTTTAAGGGACAGAATCTTGCTGTGTTGTCCAGGCTGGAGTGCAGTGGCACGACGAGAGCTCTAGGGTCAGGGTTGACAGAAACGTGGTCTGCAGCCACCATGTACTTGCGCACACCGGCGACGAGCCTGATGGGTTTGTCGTTTGTTCCTTCCAGTGGGTTTAGATCCTTCCAGCCCCTCACAGAGCGCCCCAGAAAGCACGACCCACCAGTGAGCGTGGGACTCAGAAGGCAGCCGCGGCGTGTCGGAAGGAGGGGTTTCCGGGTTGCTTAGCTGGGGCTGAGCACATCGTGGCTTAGCCTAAATCTCTACCCAGTCATTATGTTCCCAAAAGTTCTAACTTAGAGGCACGGTGTACAAATCAATAAAATGAGAAAAACTTTCAAAGGTGACAGGACTTTCTTACTAAGTAAAGGGTCGGAACCAACATGAAGAATCCAAACCAAAATAAACTTCTAAAACTTCCGCGACGTCCTCCACCTCCCTCTCAGACACCGCCGGCTGGCGAAAATGACCAGCGAGGTAACGAATGCCACACACACCTGCCGGGGGATTCAGGCTCTTTTAACTTCTGAAGGCGGCTAGAGAAGAAGCAAGATGGAGTCAGTCTCGGAGGTCCTAAGCAGAGGTGATACCGACCCTCCTAAAATTTCATCTCATCTTCTTTTCTGTTGCCACAATTCGAAGCAAGGGTTTCCTGCTCCCCCTGCCATTAAAAAAGAACACGTCATAGTGAAGGAGGCCGGCGAAGTGGGACCCTCCCGCCCTGACTGCGGTGCTCAGGCAGCAGCACTGGCTTCCCACAGAGCGGGAAATTCAAAGGAAACCCTTCACAGCTGGTTTTGCTGCTTGCATCCCTCGTCCTTTCGGTGAGCACGAAGGGAGAGGATACGCAGAGGTGAGGAGGGTCTGTGTGGAGGTTCCTTGGGGAGAGCAGGGCTGCACGGTGAGAGGGGAGGGTGGGAAATGTGTCCCTGTCTCCATGTGGGCCTGGCGAGGGGGACCTCTGCGGGGCCCCCAGTGAGAGCGTTCCCTGCAGCTGTGAGGCACGGAGCTCCTTCATGGAGAGGGGTGTTTCCTGTGACCAGATGAGCGCCTCGCTGGAGAGAATGGGCTGCAGCCCACTGGAAGTTGTGCCTAAGAGGACTGGTCACCTGCCGGTGGAGGGGCTCCGGCCGGGAGTCTGTGCAGTAAGATTTGGGACACCTTGAGGCTGAGGAGCGGCAGCAGGAAGCGAATGCATCCCAGAGCCGTGGATGGAGGAGTCCTCTGAGCAGCCTTCAGGGAACCCGTGAAAATGCACACCAGATTCGGTCAGCTTTACTATCTGGCAGGCAGAGAGCGCAGACCACCTGTGACAGCGCCAGGCACAGGCCCAGAGGGACATGCCACCCTTACCGCTCTATCCATCCTGCCCTTAACCTCTCCTGTTTGAGACAGTGACCAGCAGAGGAAAGATACAGACCTGTCCATTTCCCCCCGAATGAGCAGCCTACCAACTGTTGATCTTAGCTGGGGAGAGGGAAGGAAAAGTCTTAGCTCTGGGTGAAGGCTGAGTGTTGATCTTGGACTAAGCTGCCTAATTTCTGAACTGAGACTGTGTTTGTGATAATGGGACAGCAAGACTCTTCCGGATAAGAGTAAGGAGAAAAGTCACTGGGCCCGCCCACATTTTCTTGTGCGGTAGGGGTAATTCCCCCATTTAAAAATGCTGAGGAAATACTGGGCTGTCGCATGATGTTGTGTCCTGTTTATTCCTCATAAGTCGAGCTTGTCCAGGGTTTCGGGATGGGGACACAGAGGACAGCAAATCGGAGGAACAAAGTTAAAAACCAACATGGTGTGTGCAGGGAAGTACCATCTGTTTGAGGTTGTCGGAGCTTCGGGTTTGAGGCCTAGCGTAGCAGAAGTGAACCCCAAGAGACAGGCAGGTTCAGCTCCTGGAGATGCTTGGGCGTCACCCTGCAGATGGGGGAGGGCAGCAGCCAGGGCTGAGCCCTGGGTGGGCGGGGCCAGCTGCTGCGCATGTCTGCTGTCCCTGACCGATACTATTACATGTACTTCATTAATGTTTGAATGGATACATCAGAGAATTGATCCAGAAGTTGACCCTAAAAATGTGGGTGAGATAAGGGCGTTGGAGATAATGTATAGCCTGTTATCACAAGCTTTTCTTAAAATATTCGAGACATGGACATGTAGATACGCATGCTATACAGTTAGGTCTAGTTTTCTTAGTGCTCCGATGATTTTCTTAGACATTGTATGTCTTAAAACCACTTCCGTATGGGTCTTTAATAAAAAACATCTTAGCAAAGTGATGCAATGTTTTTAAATTTTACTGTATCCAAATTTTTATTTTTATCTATTGGGTGGGCAGTGATTTCATATTTTGATAGATTTCATAAAATTCAACTCAGCCTGATGTTTTAAACCCTCCTCAAATCTTACGTTCTTTTACTGATATAATTTCTGTATTTCAACTAATTTGCTGTCTTTCATGTATAAAATCAAAGTTCACGTGATAAAAAATCAACCATGATGCGGGAAATGTATTTCATACGTGTATATAAACATGTTCCTGATGGTGTGTTCTGTGTAATTGTGATGATTTGTATTCATGCTTATTACTCTGCGTGCTCAGCAATGTCTGTCACATTTCTGTAGTAATAGTAGTTGAAATGTGTTTTAAAACTTCTTTCCCCTCAGGAGCAAGTTTCCACAGAAGGACTTAGAAATGCTGTTCCATGGGATGAGTGCCGATTTCACGAGCGAGAATTTTTCAGCTGCCTGGTACCTCACAGAGAACCACTCGACTACCAGGTTAGTGGCTGCCCTGTCGCTGGGAAGGGTTCACTCAGACGCGGTGACAGGGTTACGCCTTGACTTCAGTCTCGATCTGGCTCTGCCCTGCAGCAACGTAGTCGTAGGCCCGTGAGCCTCTGACTTTTGGTGAGTCTGTGAACGTCTCGGGGTATCTATTGCCTTATCTGTAAAATGAGATTGTCAGTTAGAGGTCCCTTGTGTCTTATCATCACTTCATGTTTCTGTATGTTTCATCATGCGTGCAGCTCACTGAGACTGTGGAGTTGGAGCTGGGCACGTAAACTGATGTGTTTGGCTGCGATCTTCTCCTAGTCAAATAGCACAGAAGTTTTCAGTTCTGGTGTAGGCTGTGGAACACACTGCCTTCCCTGACCATAGACTAAAGGAGATGACTTGGTCATTATATAAAGAGCTGGCTTAAAATTAGCCAAAAAGTAGACAAGGTTGTATACGTAAAAGACAGCGTTCTTTTTGTCTGCTAATTACATTTTACCCACTTCATGAGAGCAGATTTGTAACTTATTTGCAAGATTGACTTAAAACAATTATAGTCAGTAAAAAAAAAGTTTGGATAAATGAATGGTTGGTTGCTTAAATTTAAATTCTTGTTAATCAACTTGTTAAAATATACCTTAATATAAATTTTTCATTCACACATTAGGATCAAAACCATTATTAGAAAATATAAGGAAAAGCCGGTATTTTAGTATTATTACATAGAGTCAATTTGGCTTGATAAATTTTTAAAGGAAATGTCTGAAATGAACTTTTTTATTGTAGAAGATGGTTCCAGTTTTACATTACAGATGTGCTTTTTCTATTCTTATAAGTCAGAATTGATCTCCGTTTTTTTGTGTAGGGCTGTATCAGGGTACTCGAGAATGTATTTAAAGTTTGATAGCCAGATTTTCTTAGCTCACATGGAAATAAAACTTCTAAAATACAGAGGCCTACTTTTTTTTGTTTCTCTGCTTGAGATAAAGAGATAATATATTGTCGGCTTCTTAGTTATTTAAATTGTGAACTGACCCACAGGTTTTATGTAATTTTATTATTAAGGACAGAGGACTGGGTGTTGATGTGATGAATATAATGTTATAACGCTCAATGTTTCAAAATACCTAAGTGAGTGACAGAGGAATTCTACCTTCGAAATAGTGTCCCTCACTTGATGCTCTGGGTCTTCTTATCAGGTGTAGAGGATATTTAAATCTCTTTATCTGGAAAATCATATATAGTATAGGTTATAAAAATATCTACATATACATTTACTTCTTAGGGGTCTAACATATTTGGAATTACCATTTGAGGGCTACAAAACTCTTTTGCAGCTGTTGTAATTTAAACATTCATAATGAATAAAAGCCTTGGATCTGGATAAGAATTTGAAAGCTTTTTGTTTTCATCTGGTTTCGTATTGTATTAATCTGTATGCTTCTTAACATAGGTTTTAGCATTCCTGGAATCTTACACCTAATGAATTATTTCTTTTTTTGCGTGTTAGGTGTCTCAGACGTTTGGTTTCTTTGTTTCGTTCCAGCTTTGAACAGCTCAAGATGGCAGTCGCCAACCTCAAGAGACAGGCTAACAAGAAGAGCGAGGGCAGTCTGGCCTACGTGAAAGGGGGTCTCAGCACATTCTTCGAAGCACAAGACGCCCTTTCAGGTAAGGCGATCCTCGGGGCCATCTGCCGGCAGCTTCCACAGTGGAAACCCGACACGCGCTTGCAGGGTGTTTACAGGGTGTGACATTCGGTCTGTATTTATTAAGTAGAGATTTAAAATGTGCCATAAATATTTGTTGCAGACTAGGCTGGCATCTCTTTGAAGGCTCAGTACTTTAAAAATTTATCTCTGAAGATTTTGTTGACCTATCTTACATGTGTGAAATGGGAGACTACTTTACCCTTCTGTGATGTCCAATCTCCAGGGTTGATAAGAAATTAAATCTCACTGGGTAAAATTCTAGGATTTTTAAAATCCTTTTGTAGCCATCAATATCTTACATATGCGACTAATTCTATAAATGTGACCCATTGTGTGTTCAGTTTGGAAAGGACTGACGACAAGGTACCATTCTTTTTAGCTCTTACCCCACCCGAGCACCCACACATACGCACAAACACAAAGGTAGCTGTCCCACTGCTGTGCCGTCGTGTTTAAATGGGAGGGAAGTGTATCAGCTGCAAATGTCATAGCTTGAGATATTTCAGTGAAAGGTCTCAGTAGGCTTTTTTTAACCACCTTTAATTAATAAAAGTTTAATTATTGTTTATCCAATAAAAAGTAAAACATTAATAAAAGCTAACCCAATTCTTTTTAAGCTAAGATACTATAACTGTGTACCTATAGAGCTAAGTATCTATAACTCTATATATTAAGAGGATGCACCCTCTTCAATTCAGAAAGACAAATTTAAAAAATTAATTTGTATTCTTGAAGTACAGAAATCCTTTCATTGTTTTTAAAAACCCTGTCCTCATGTGCCAAATATGCTTAATTGACTTTTGGCACATTAAATACAGCTCTTTCCTTGCAGGTAGAGGTTAGGTGTAAAATGTGAATGCCTAGGAGGGAGCAGAGAAACTAGGTCCTCGTCTTTGGTAAATGCTGTGTGCCAGTGTTTCCTGATGGTGTGCCTTTCTTTCTTTGTGCTTACTGCTGTTCTAAATTACCCATAGTTAATCTTAACCATGTCAGGAAGAGAAATATGAGCATATGTGAATCGCGTTTAGTATAAATCAAGTAAAGGTGGTTATTCATATACCTGGTAGCGACACAAATGATTCTCATAAATTATTATAATTGAAGTGATTTTCCTTAGCAAAAAGATGGATTTGACTTTTCTCTCCACTCTTTTTAAAAAACATATTTACATATACATGTATATTTGTATTTATTTATGCTTTTTGCTTCTATAAATGGCTTTACTATTGGCAGATTTCAAGATGTTTTATTTGGTAATTAAATTTATGTAGTCTTATTTATTAGACATTCACTCTAGAAGCATGTTATTTGGTACATTAAATTTGTGTAGTCTCATTTACTAGACATTTGCTCTAAAAGCGTGTTGGCAACTTAAAGTTTAACAAAGATAATGCTCACCAACTACTAATAAGTGAATGACTATATCACACATAGAAACTGATTATGATAGTAAATTTTAAAACTTTAGACACATGCACATATATCTAGTTTTTCTATTTTTTGATGTAAAAGAAATGTATATTGTAGAAAATATTAAACAGATAAATAATTACCAAGAACTACTTCCATTGTAGAGATAATCACATTAATATTTTGATGTTTTTCTTCCTTTTGATTTTTTTTCTTATATCAGTACATATTATAAAATTGGGATTATATTGTATATAGAGTTGTGTATGTTAGAAACCTGTTTTATTCTTTAGAGAAAACCTGTTCTTCTAGGTAATTATGTTAGTTTACTATAGCATTTGATTTGTTAGTAGGTTTTTATAACGTTTTCCAACTATAGTCTTAAATGAAATTAATCTATAGTTTTTAAAAATGCTTTTCTGGTCAGGTTGTAGTATTAATGTTACACAGAATCATACGAATGTATATGTATGTGTTCGTGTATATACTCTCAATGGGCTATGTAGATTAGAAATTACATGTTTAAAATTTAAAAGAGCTGTTACATAAAATAGCTCATTTAATTTGTCTTACTTTTCTATTATGAAGATTTTCAAACATGCTAAAACAGAGATGAGAGTATTAATATAATCAACTCTTATATACCTATCCTCCTAGGTTTAACACTTACTATATATTTTCATACTTGTTTTATCAGTATTTTTTGAAGTTGGTTTATTTGTGTTTTGCTGATATATTTTAAAGCAAATCTCAAGCAGCATGATATTGCTCTCATATATACCTTAGTATAAATCCCTCAAGTAAAGACATTTATGTACCTAATCATGATACCATTATCATAGCTAACAAAATTAGCAATAATTCTTCAATATCATCTGATTCCTAGTTCATCTTTAGTTTTCTCCAATTATCCCCAAACTCTTTTTTATAGCTGATTTATCTAAATCAAGACCCAAATAAAATTCAGGCATTTCATTTGATTTTTAAATCTCTTAGACTTCTTTTAAACTATAAAAATCCCCTCACCTTTCCTACCTGGTTTTTTCATGTCATTGATTTGTTGAAGAAACAAGGTTATTTGTCCTAGAAGATATCCCACACTCTGGATTTGACTGATTACTTTCTCCTGGTGTCATCTAACTTATTTTTTTCTCCAATGTGCTAGGACTTATCTAATTGGACATTAGATAAGATTCAGTCTCAACATTTTTGGCCACAAGTAGTGCTGTATGCTTCCTATTTTATCACACTGGGAGTCCATTACTGTCTGGGTGTCCCTCCTATAGAGACACCATAATGTACAGGTGGCTTAAGGGGTGGGCACCAGCAGTTGATATATATGTGTACTTTTAAAACCTCTAATTTTTGTGTTTTATTTTGGTTTTGTTTTCTCCTGAAATATCTATTTCATCAAGATTTTCATATTTTTTAGCCATTGCATTGTAATTTTTAAATCATTTAAAATTAATGTTATAGGCCCTTTCATTATTTGTTTAGTTTATTTATGTGTTCTGCTTCCTTTTTAAAAACATTGATTCTGTAGTGATACCCTTTTTATGTTTTTAAAATTTGTAATTTTAATTCTCCTCCTTGACCTAGTAGTTTCTAGAAAATTTTTGGTTTTAAAGTTAGTCTCTAGTCTTATTGTGAACAGAAAATATGTTTCTTAATATTTATCAATTTTTGTAAATATGCCAAAGATTAAAAAAAGAGAGATTGGCATGTTCTCTTCAGGGTACACTGTTTGATATTTTAGCAATACCTGATTAATTACATTATTTAAATCTAGCTTATTTATAATAAACATGATAGACAAATCTCCCTCTTTAATTTTGATTTTGTCAGTTTTTCTTTGTATGTAAAATGTTTACTTGGTAACTTTCGATGGCTAGGATTCCGTTAATATTATAATGTCATAATAATAATAATTTTAAAGTTATGGGCAGTCCCCAAGATCACCCTCAGGTTTAGTAATTTGCTAGAACTCAGCGAACACTGTTGTACTCACAGTTATGGGTTATTACAGGAAGAATACACAGATGACAGTCAGCCAAGGGAAGAGAGGCATGGAGCAGGGGCTAGGAAAGTTCCAGGAATAGAGCTTCCAGGTATTGTGGCCCAGTGGAATCATGGACAGCACTGACCACGATTCACAATTTGGGACGACACACATGGAAGACTGCCATCCAAGGAAGCCACCCATACCCCGGTGTCCAGATGCAGAGTCTTTCCTGGGGCTTCATCACCCAGAGATGCTCAGCAGCCCCATGTCCAACCGCAGGCTCCAGCCCCTCAGGGTTCAGGCTGACACTGAGCAACCAGAGTGCTCACCACAAATGACAGTGTTAGACTCTCTGGTGTGGCTTAAGGCCCCAGGTTAAAAAAACACTTTCATCAGGCAGAGCATTCCAAGAGTTTAGAGAGTCCCTCCCAGGAGCTGAGGGGAAAGGCCACACCTTTTTGGGGGTCAGATTAAATTCTTTACTGCACAATAACATAATGGTAACATTTTATACCCTTATTTTTACATACATTTGCTTAATATATTATTCATAATATTTTTGTAACCGTTAAGAAATTTTGTTTTTGGCATGTGTCTTATAAACAACATGTGGCAGGATTTTTATTTTTTAAATACCATTCTGATACCTTTACCCTTTAATAGAAGACTTTAAGCTATTTACATTTATCATATTGAAATTTTTGTCCTATTTTCTTTCTCTCTTGTTTACTTTTTGTTCTTCATTTTTTCCTCTTTGCTACATAGGCCATATTGTTTGCAGATTTGAGAGAAATGTTTTAAAATTGTTATAGGTTGTCTTTGAACTTATATGTGGTAACAGTTTAGCACATCTTTATTTCCGATGCTTTTTCCCTTTTCTTAGTCTTAATTTAATTTGAAATTATAGACACAGTTTATTTTGCCTTTTCTTTTCCATTTCAGTATTCTGTTTTTAGGTTTATTTTTGTCTTTTGCATTTAATTTTATAAAATATTTACCACAGTTATCTGGTAAATATATTATTTGCTTTAACATTTATTTAATTTGCTTTAATGTGTATTGCCAGTCCTTTTATATTTCATCTGTCCTATCATTGAATTTTTTATTCGCAGCATCGTGGTGTATTTTTTGTGCTATATCTCTTGAGCCTTGTCTGGAAATGTCTCTTGCCTTCATACACGAACAACCACTGGGCTGTGAGAGAGTAACTTTATGAAGACGTTGACCCAGTGACGTTTAGTGTTGCAGAGACGAAATCCTGAAAAACATAATTCTTTATTAGTTGTAGGTAAATTGCTTGTTTTTCTATCTAGCTAAATGCTTAAAAGATATATCCGTTTAGCCTTTGAATAAACAAAAAAAAAAAAAGGAAAGACACCTTTGTGGGATATACTGGAATTCTTTGGAATCTGTAGACTTGTATCTTCGGTTCTTGAAACTTCTGTTATTTCTGATGTCGTTTGTAGCTTGTCTCCGCATGGTCGCGCGGAAGTGTCCCCCTGCCCGTCTCGGCCGTGGGTCCGGCCCCTTTCCAGTCTGCCGTCGCCGGCTCCCTGCCGTTGGCCGCCCGCGCACGCCACGCGGGGAAGGGCTCTCCGGTGGTTGAGAAAGGAAAGGGTTGCTGGAGGCGAGAACTGCGGGCTGGAACGACGTGCTGACGTGGGGCCGGAAGGACGGGAAGCCGTTTCCGGTCTGTGCCTTCCGGCTGCGGAGCCTGGCGCAGGCGGCGCGAGTCCCGGCTCTGCTGGGCGCGGCCCGGGCCTTCTCCCCGACCGCGTGGCCGGTCCCCCCGTCCGTCCCCTGGGCACGCTCTTAGTAGCCGCCATCCTGCTTTACGTCTTTCCGCCATTGTCGGCTCTGATTCCTCCTGTGTGTACCCGCAAGCATTTCAGTCAGAACTTAGCGAGAAGCGTGTCCGGCGTAACTCAGCTGCCAGTGTCGACCTCGGCGTGTGGAGCGTAGTTTTCCTTCGCTGTTAACGTGTCCCGCAGAGATACCCCGCGCCGCGCCGCGCGTCTCCGTGGCCGCACTCCGGCCTGCCGGCCACGCCCGGGCCGTCTCCGTGGCCGCACTCCGGCCTGCCGGCCACGCCCGGGCCGCGCTGAGGAGCCCCCGCGCCAGTGACCCGAGAGGCGGCGTCTGTGGCGCTTCCGGGCGGGAAAGGCCTCCCGCGCGCCTCGGCGTCCGGCCACGTCCCCGGCGCCCGCGTGCTCGGTAACCTGTGCAGTCACGTGTCTTCAGTGGCAAGTGGGGCGTGAGCGCTCGCAGCTTTCGAGAACAACGTGGGCCCACACTGCGCAGGCGCACGTTCTGCGGTTCCCCGGAGGAGCCAGGCCGCCGCACCGGAGGCCGCACAGGAGGCCGCACACGCCGCTCCCGCCCTGCCTGCGCTGCCGCCACGTTCCCTTGTCGCCGCCGTCTGCGCCGCGTGAGCCGTGGTTGGTTTTTTTGACACATTTGGTTTAGTGACTGTTGATGCATGAAGATAGTGTTATCTGGGATGATTATCTAAGTGAGAATTGTTTTTACCCGTTAGTCTTCTGTGTAATAGTTGCAATTATTTTATTACTTGTGGGTTTTCTTCATTGTAGCTGGAGAAGGAAAGGAATCACAGATTGCTCAGCCAATTCAGATATATGCTTTATCTGCTCTGACAGAAGTTTGGTAGAATAAGAAGTAGAAACTAAATGTTCGAAAGGCTCTTTATAAATTTAAATTATTCACCTCACCGGGACTCTTCTTGATCTCCTGATTCAGTAAGCATAATCCTCAGAGTCGGCACGCGAACCACATTAGGCCCATTTTATACAGGCCATGGCTTTGTTTTCCAAGCGTTGTTTAAAAGAAAGAAGAAGATGTGATGGAGGGTGTATGTGGCTACAAAGCTAAAGTATTTATTGTCCGGCTCTTCATAGAAATAGTTTGCCAATCCCTGATCTGGCTTGAATAGTCCCGTCTCACGCAGGCCGGGGTGGCGCGCAGTGGCCGGAGCACGTGCGTCAGTTCGTGCGTGGATCTTGCGCCGCGCCTGCGCGCACACGTCGTTTCTTAGTGCCCTAGTAATAGCATTTATATAGATGTATGGGCAGATATTATGATTCTTTTATTGAAATTGCGAGTTTGACGTCCACATTTTATTGGAGAGTTAAATAAAAGAATCAAATAATTATAGGCAATCTTTCTATAACCCTGATTTTTCTTTGAATAGTACTTGTATGCATACTTTTTTGTTTCCCATACAAAAACTTAGGCTGTTCAACTGCTTCACATATTTAAGTTTTAATAGATTAGAAACAATAACAAACCTGTGATCATGTACCAAGTTGCTTATTGAGTTATGCTACTTGAAAATGTTTTCAGAGAAAATAAAAGGTCAAGCGAACCAGACATTGGGTTATTTGGTTTAATTTCCTGGAAAATAGGATTGCCTTTATCAGATCCCAGTGTCTCTGGGTCCTCATGCTCGGCTGACAGCTTGACAGTGGCTCTGCTGTGGTGGAGATGGGCGGGAAGGAGCTGCCTTGTCAGCAGAAAGGACTGTAAACTGAGCCGGGGGACCAGGGTCACCTCTTGACCCGCTGATCAGCGATGGGTTTTGTCAGCGTCAGTAAACATGGCTGCGTGACTTCCTTCATCGCTGACTCTGACTTGGAAAGTCGCACGTGAGGCCGCGCCGCTGTGGGAGCTGATGCCTGGGCGAACCACACACGGTGCCCACGCGGTAAAGCTGCAACGTGTGCCAGGTTCCCTTGTAACCAGGATGGTCACAGAGTCGCCGCAGCATCTAAATAAAGAACGTGAGCAGGTTTGCTCACACACAGCAGGCAGTGTCTCCAGGTTGGTGTTTCAGTGCCTAGGCACAGTCTGTCCCTGTCCTTGAAGAGAGGGCAGGAAGCTCTTTTCCCTCTTTAACAGGTTGAACTTAAGTTTTGATATGTGGGAACATTTTATGTCATTGTTACCCCATAATCTAAATTTGAGACCTTGAAGAAGTTACTTTCTCTTCACTCTGAATCAACCAAGACAATTAAAAATATAGTGGCTGATTTTTTTACGAATATATTTCTTTTTCTTTCTATGAATGTGTTTCTTCACAGAGAAGCAGGCTGTTTATTTTATAATTTCAAACAAAATTTGAGGTAGCTCTACAAAATAAAGGATAAAAAAGAACAAGCTCAGAATTAAAAACTAAAAGGAGCAGAAAAATAGATGTTATTAGGCACTGAGAATGTGTTCATAGTACATTTGAGCGGTGAATTTGTCTCAGAGTTCTCTGACCATTGAGTCAAGGGAAATACATTGAACTATATAGTTCTGAGTAAAAGAAATACACGTCTTTTTGTTTGTTTGTTTGTTTTAGCATAAATCTGCCACCTGTGACTGATGGGTTAAGCAGAACCCATAGTTCCTTTTAAGAAATTGTTCTAAGTCACTATTTGAATGTTAGAGAATACCTAATATATAAGGGTGCTGTTCATTTCAGTGAACTAGTTGTGAAGGCCATAGAGTTAAACATCCTGCATTTGGGTTTTCGCTAAAACAAGTTATATGAAAATTAAAAATCCTGGGTGTTTTAGCAGCTTTTATTTTGGGGAGGAGAAGCCTCTTTTGTTTTCAACTGAATGCATTTCCCAATTGACATAATAAGTGTATTATTCTCATTTTACAGATGTGAAAACAGAAGCTTAGACAGTGGAAGTTGCTTGCCTTTACTATATGGGAAGTGTGGGATGAGATTTTATGTACTGGGATCAGACTGCTCAAGTGCACATTTTGAGTTTGGCTTTGTGACCTTGGACAACTTGTTTTAATTTCATGGATCCATGGTTTTCTCATCTGTAAACTAGAGATAATATTGGAAGCTGCATCACTGGCTTCTTTAAAAGATGACAAATACACATATAAGAAACTTAGCTTATATATTCATTGCTAAATTGATGTTTGCCTTGCTATTTTTTTTTATTTTTTATATTACACTTTTGAATTTGAAATTGTATTTGACCATTTTGTTTTCATATTTTTCTTAGTTCTTCACCTAAATAAGTCTGATTTGCTCTGTTTAAAACCTCTTCAGTAGGTAAAACAGTTTTTAGATATAAATTACTAAATGATTTCCTCATAATCTTTATCAGATTCAGTAACAGCAAAAAGCTCCAATGCAGTTTGTACATCCACAATTAATGTATTGGTAGATGTTGCTAGGTGTTTCTTGGGAACCCCCAGAGAAATAACTTACCGTCTTAATAGAATGAATAGAACATGAATCATATGTATTTTGCCATGTTATATTTTAAGGCTGAAATTAAATGTTTTGAGGTTGGTAAACTTCAAATAGTAGTATTCCTGTTTTCCAAATGGTGAAACAAGAATAAGAATGGCTTTCCTGTGGCCAAATATCAAAGATAGTACAGGTTTAGTTCCCTTATCTGAGATGGTTGGGACCTGGAGCGTTGCATATTTTGGAGTTTTGGCTCCGGGATGCTCAACCTTTAGTCATAAGACCTGGGAAACCTTAAGTATTGCTTTTCTTTTTTAATTCAACTGTCTTTACCACTCAGTCTTAAGGTTCAGATGATTGAGTATGTGTATTATGAACTATTTTAATAATGTTAAACTATTAATAACAGGCTAGTGTCTGCTGGGTACATTGCAGAATATGGCATATTTGTGCTCCTTTCCAGCAGAGAAAATAATATGACCATTTTTTAGAGCTGTTTAAAAATGTCATTTTGATGTAATATATCTCCACCCATTAAAATGGCCTGCATTTTAACCAGATGTTTTTTTCTAGCAATCCATCAAAAACTAGAAGCGGATGGAACGGAAAAAGTAGAAGGATCCATGACGCAAAAACTGGAGAATGTTCTGAACAGTAAGTTTCGTCCTGTTACCACAAACTATTTATGGACTTTATAACAAGCTTCAATGTAGTTCTTGGACCTGCTTTTTTACAGGACAAAGCAGTAAGTCGCATTTTAGTATTTATTTCTAAACGGTAGCGATTATTAAATACTTGCTGAATGAATATTAAGGGGAATAGAAACACTGAAATGAATATTCTGTTTCTGTTTGCATTTTATTTATGAGAAATCATAATTTGAAAACAAGGCAATATACTTCTTAAGAAATAAAATTTGCTACCATAAAACAGACCAGTATATAAAAAGCATCATCAAAGATAGGAAAGCACTGCGGCAGTAGCCAGGATTGGCACTGACCAAAAACCTGGAAAAGCCATCATCAAGTGTCTACCAGCGTTAATGCAGATAACCTCAGCTATTAGAATAACAGATACTTAGGTGTCATTTATTTGTTTATACCTTGCCTTTTTCCGAAAAGAATTTAAGGCAGCTGGATATTTAAGAGTATGTCTAAATTTGAGAAATTTTGTGAAAATTATAGGCCCAGGAAAAACTGATATATTGAAAGTTTTGGATCCGTGCATCTTTCTTTATGTCCTTTTTCTGACGTCCGAGGTTCTAGCTACTTAGTTATCTTACTGATCTAGAAGAAACTCATCAGGTGAATTAGTCTGTATTGTACTATTAGTGCCTTAAAAATAAGTTATCTTGTTTCATACATACAGTTAACATTTGATATGGTGCAATAATCCCAATAGGAATCTCCTTGTTTTTAAATATAACATGATTTCATCCTGAAGTAGAGTTAAACATAACTGAAAAAATTAGGAAAACTCACATCAGATCTTTAAAGGTTCTGTGAATGCAGGACTGTGATAGGAAGTTACTTTTGCACTTACAGCTTAATGTAGTCTCATGAGCAGAACTTTTTGAGTCTTTATGTAAATATCTGTTCAAAACCTGGAGAATCCTTAATAAGAAAGTATTTTCTAGAAAGACGCTTTAATTTGGTGTCAGCTTTCCTTGGTAGAAGAATTTGAGTCCTTGGATTTCATTCTAAATTTCTCAATTTAACAGCATTTAAAAATATTTCCCTCTATTATTATTACTATTATTACTACTTGCCTTGAGATTTTGCCTTATTTTTATCTTTGAGAACCAGGTCACCAGCTTTGTTAAAATGGATATATTTTGAATTTAACTCAAATTTATTGAAGCTATTTCTGTATTAGCATCATGAGACATTTTAAACGTCTTAGAATGGTATTTTCTACTCAGGGATGTTATTTGCACTGGAGAAGTTGTCATCAAACCAAGATATCTGTACAAAAAACCAAGATTACTTCAGTAACTTTAAAAAGGTGACTTGTAGGAACAACGGACGTAGTAATATATCATTGTATCAGTAAAAGAGATACTTGCTAAGGTTTGGGAAATACTAAGGTCTGTTCCATGTGTTAGGCTTAGTATAATGTGGTAATGTAATTCTTTCTTCTAAGGAGTAGTTTGGGAAATCCTCCCTTGGGACTTACGGTATTAAAAATTGTAAAAAAAAAAATTGTTTTACTTAATACTCCTTTATAACCATGAAGTTTTCCGAGAAATGTATCATGTTAACTTATTATCAAAGTTCGCTCTTTTTTGGATAAAGTTGGGCTTGACATAAATGGTCACTTCTTTATGAGATCTTCCTTCAGGACTTTTTGGTGTAAAAATTTCCCTGAAATATATTCCATTGTAACAATCCTCATTTTTCCAGACATTCTTTATCCACATGGTGTTCGTGTTTGCTATTTTAGGATAAGGTCTTGCTAATTCAGGTCAACTTGACAAACACTCATTTGTCACTGGGTGTGTGGAATCTCGTGCTGAACCAGCCTGGGGCACAGAGCTGGGAGAGACGCGGCTCTGGAGCCGCCAGAACGAGGCTTTCGTAGTCACCCAGGACTTCAGTGCTGCAGAACCAGTAAAAAAAACACAGAAAATTAAAATCAGAAAAATTCAACCAGTACTATCGGAAATTCAGTTTCTTTTTTTTTGGAAAGGAAGGAAAGAATAAATGAGAATGAATGTAGTTTAATTTGCTTAAATTATTACTAATGCTTTCATTGTAGGTATAATCATACACTAACTCATAGGGATTTTTCTTTGGTTTTTTAAAATGAGAGTTTTTAAAAATTTGGGCAGTCTTTCTCACTTTAAGCTAAGTTTCCAAAGGAGGGTATTGGCTGCAAGAAAGTTAGCCCCTTAGAAAAGTTAAACAATAAAGTTAAACTCCCTTATTCGGAGTTTATCAATGTTGACACGTTTTATTGAAATTGTTTTATTTTCATTGACATGTGTTTCTCATGTTTGCTTTTGAACTTAATAATTCCTTCTGATTTTCAGCCAGAAACTAGTTTATTTATATCAAATTCACATATATTCCAAGAGTATAGAACAGCACTGTCGAATAGAATTTCTGCAGTGTCGAAAATGTAGCTATTGAGCACTTCACATGTGGTTAGTACAGCTGAGGAACTGAATTTTAAATTTTTATTTAATTTTAACTAATTTAGCTTTGAATTGAAACAGCCCCCTATGGCTAGTAGCTACTGCATTAGTGCAGGTGTAGACAATGCCGTGTTTGAGTATTTGTCACCGTATTTGCGGTAGTAATAGCTAAAGCTTTTGCAGTATCTCCTAAATGTCAGGTGTTGCTCTGAATAGTCTGTATGTTTAGTCCTCACAACAACCCCTTGAGGTCTGTGCTAGTCTCTTCATTTTATTGATGAAACAAATGAAGCCCAGAAGGTTAAATGAGCTACATACATAACGTCATATAAGTAGTAAGTGGCAGAGCTGGGCATTATGTCCAGAAATCTTACTCCAAACTTGGGCTTCGACCTACAGGCAGTCCTTGCTGTGCGTGGTTTGGATAGGCAGGGATTTCAGTTACCACGGTATATTTGCCTCACTGCATGAAGTACAAACTTCACCACTGGCTCTTCAGTCCGCAGATCACTACAGAAATAACACACGTGCGGGATGGGTAGCCACACTCCTTCCTTCAGAGTCTATCAGGGACTGGTCACCGTGCATCTGTTACCAGTTCACCTGTGGGCCGCAAAGCTTGCAGCTGTGCTGCCCTTAGATGCTGTGCTGCCAAGAGATGAACCCACATGACTTTTTACAAAAATGGATAACCATAAGAAAGGATTGGCCCATAAAGATGAAAGTGCATCAGAAACCAAAAAGTGATAACACTGTGCATGAAATTCAAATCCAGCACAAATGGAATTATAGAAAAAGTAGCTGACGAAGGGAAGGCAGAGCCTGTTGTCGTTCAAGACTCGGGAGGAGCTTGGTGAAGGGGACTTACCGACGTGGGGGAGACGTCCCCAAGGAAGTGATGCTCAGAGGAACCCTCAGATTTTTACATCAAAGGTACAACGTTAAAATGTCAAAAGGTGATTCACACTTAGAAAGGAGTACGATAATTTGTCAAAGCATAGGAAAGATGCTTGATACATATTGTCAATTTTATGAAAAAAAAGAAGGCAAATGCTCTTGAGAAGTTTTTCTCCAAAGAAATAAAACACTCTAATTTTTGATGTTTCTAATGTTTTAAGTTACAGCGTACTAAATATGTAATAGTTTTACTATTTTTAAATTTTCCTCTTCATTTATTAATATGACCAACAGTAAGTGAGTTTTTAACATTTCAACAAAAATTTTTAGGAGTCACGGAATGACTGTAATTTTCCCACTGATTGTTGAGACGGCTTTTCTGGGTTTCAGATTCTCCAGCCATCGTCACAGTCACGCATGCTGCCCAGAGCAGGGCGTGGGCCTCCCACGCTGCACAGCTCTCTGCCTGGAATGAATACTGTCATTGACTCACAGGCCGATTTTCAGTCCTTGTTCTGCGATGGTTTTTGAGTACATGTTTGTTTTATCCTAGGGATATAAAGATAAAACTTGTACTTAATGTCTAAGAAGTTATAGCCTAATGGAAAATAGGGACACATAAGCAGGTGATTGAATTGTGGTGTGATCACACTCTGCTGCCGGTATTCTTGGGATGCGTCTGGAGCCTGCACGGGGGGCAACTAACCAACGCTGGAGTGGAGAGAATATCGGGAGGGTCACAAGAGCCTTAGGAGGGAAGCAGGAAGTAGCCAGAGAAGTCAAGGTTGGTGATGGGCAGCTGGGTGGAGGGATGCGGTGTGTCTGGGCAGGGCCAGCAGCGTGCGGGGATTGCGCAGCGTTGGAGAAGAGATGGCCGCAGCCCTGCAAGCAGCATCCGGGGCCCAACGTGCACGCGTGAGGGTTGAGGCTGCGAGGTATGACGGACCCGCTGGGCAACGGCGTGACAGCTAACGGTGAACCACTGAAGCAGTGTAAGAAAGAGATTGGTATTACGAGATTTTTGAAGAAGGGCCTGCCGTCTGTATGGAGAACGGGCGAGAAGGGAGGCCACGAGAGGCAAGAGGAGGGACAGAAGTGCCCAGTAATGATGTAAGCCGTGTAAGTAGCAGCGCACGTTGTAATGGAGAGAGGTGATGTAAGGGTGACGTGGTAAGGACTTTAGCCAAAACAGCTAGCGAAGGCAGAGCTGGCAGGTGAGAAATGTTAAGGAGATGAGGAAGGCAGTTTTTGATCACTGGTTTGATGTGTGATGTAAGAACAAGGAGATAGTCGATGATGACTTGCAGATTTCTGGCCTGAAATGAGGAGGAAGTAGCAGTTTTGGGGCGCAAGGAGAGTAGAGAAGACTTTCAGCTTAGTTTGTAAGATGCTGAGTTTGAGATGCTGAGGGTACAAGTGATGCCTTCCTGGCTGTCACTGCTTCCTCGCTGGCACAGTGGCGTGTGGAGGAGCCTGCCTGTGTGTCAGTTGCCTCCTCCACAAATGGAGGGAAAATGACACCTGTCTTGTAAGCAAGTACCAATGCCGTAATACATGCGAAGTTTTGAGAATAGCACCTAGCAGAGAGTGAGTGCTCAGTATATTAGCTGTCGCTGTTGTATGTCTAGTGAAAATATTTTTAAAGATTAGTTTTAAGCTCGCAGACACATCTCCTGATACAGATTTGGGAGTCATCAGCATACAGATGGCAGTCGAATTAACAGGATTGAATGATGCAGCCAGGTGCTACGTGTGAAATTGAAATAAGAAAGCCACGGCTGTAGAACACTGAGGAATATTAGTGTGAGTCAAACATGTGAAAAAGAATCTGACTTCTATTCAGTGGTTGGCTAGTAAATACTTAACAACTGGGCATTCAAAAAAGAAAGAAAGGAGAGAGAAAGAGAAAACTCTAATGTTAGTATTTCTCGATTTCCAAGGTCCAAGTATCCCCACTGTGGTCGATTTCGAGTTGAGGAGAGATGCCAGCAGTCGGCTGCTGAGAGCGGGGACAGCCGACTTCAGCTCTCTCCTCATCCCTGGACTCCGGTCCTGTGTCTTTACGCACAGCTACGGGACTCCGGCGTCAGGCACGGTGTTGTAAACAAGCATCGAATGTCGCTAGTGATACCACTCATGTAACATCATTGTGGTAGAGATAGCAGCCGACTAGGCATTTTCTAGAATCTATTAAAACTGGGACACGTACAGAAGGTTGTTGGGTCTCTTTGGGGTCCTGGTTTTGCTATACATGTGAGTATACATTTTAGTTCCCTTAATTTCCCAGATGCCCTCATGTTTCGTTTCCTGACCTCATTCAGTTCGCCGATTCCGGGGATAAATTGTGTTGTGGTGGGTGGAGGTGGGGAGCTCCTCTGTTCTACCTCTGACCCCTGCAATTCCAGTCAGGCAGAGAGCACAGATTAAAAATCACTTCTGTGACCTGTTGTCTCAAGGGTTGGTACCAAGGAAGGGACCAATAAGGTCACTTCGAAATAAGAGACAGCATAATGTTTACTTTAAGTAAACATGCTTGAAATTATAAGACACCATTAGAATTTCAGGACTAGGTTTTGTAGCTGACAGGAGTTCCTGGCACACTGAGAATGTTTTTTTGTTGCTAAGGGCAGGTGTGAGTCCGCTGGTCAGCGTGCCGTGCTGCAGTGACTTCTCTTCCCACCTTGCACTGTCAGGAAATCTCACTGCTCTACAGGCCCAGCAGTGGTGGCAGCCACCGCGTTACAACGGCATTGCTGTTGGCTCTTGCGGTTCGTGTGTGATGGATACAGTGACAGTCACTGTCTAGATTAACATACCGAGACCATTTTCAGGTGAGAAGGGACCAAGTTTCAGGTCTAGGCTTGCCCAGGGCTGGTAAATGTAGATTCAGGTTTATTCTGCAGCCTGTAGGGCCAAAGCCATGGTTTCCAGGGCCATCTAGTCCAGGTAGATTTGTCTGATGGTTGCACACTGGATATCCAAACCCCTGCCAGCTGCCTCACCTTGGATGTTCCTTGTGTGCGGAAGTGGGGGAGAACGTGTGTGGATTGGTGCGTGTAGGGGATTTTCTTCCAGATGACTTTGTGGATGCCTTTCCGGTGGCCTTATCTGCAGCACCAGCCTCACGCATGATGAGCACAGAGTAGTAGCTTTGTTTTTTTATTAGTAGCTCTAGAGAAGAAACGCATTTGTGAGCTGCTGGTGATTTTTATGTTTGCACAAATCTTGGTTTCATAGCTCTCTTGTGTTTTATTACTGGATATATCATCCAGTTATCAGAGTTATGAACTACAGTTTTATTGTGAATACAGTAAATTTATAGACAGAATAATAATTTGTAGTCAGAAATTGTATATGAAAGTTATAATTTAATAATTTATTTCTCAGTATTTGCATAAATTAAAGTTCTCCATGTATAAATATATATAGTTTGGCATAAATAAAATTATAATTTTATAGTTTATAATTTGTAAATTTTTTTCCATAAAGTGTTTATGTTTTGTTTGGTTATAAGCGCTTTTTCTCCCTGTACTTGTTTTCCTACTTTTTAGAAGAGCTAAAAATTAGTTGGTAATTTTTTACTACTTTAAAAATACGATAAGAAAAATCTAATTTTGAACTCGTATACTTTTTGCCCCGAATTCCTTTATTATACCAACAAAAGAAAAGTGCCTGGTGATTTAACATTCAAACCCTATACATAAGTGTTTACTCTTTTTGAAAGATTCAGTCCCCTTATTTGTGTCCATATTTATTCATTTATGAAGCCTTAGTTTATGAAATTTATATTTTTAAAAATGATAAATACTTTAAAATAATTTTCTTTAAGGAAAAAAAAGTGTTAACCCTAGTCAGATTTTAAATATTCATTTAGCTTCCCTTATGTGGTTTGGTGGCAAGAAGGAAATATATTTTTTCTCATCTTATAGTAGAAATTTAGTATTCTGCATTAAATAGCATGTAATGAAAACAGCTATCTTGACAAAACAAAGTTTTTATATCAGACCTTTAAAATTTCAACAGAATTTAAACATTATTTAGATAAAACAATCATGTTACAAAGACGACTTTTAACACGCTCAGGCCACCCACAGTGTGGACTAGAGAATATGGCATGCAAGCCACCCAGTGAGACTGAGGTCATTTCTTCATCTTTGCTTAAAGTATCGTCACTAGACCAGATAATGCAGAAACTTTTTACAAGCAGCGATCAAATAACTGAAAACAGTTCATCCTTTTTCTCCCCTTTCCTCGTGGCTAATTAAAAATAATTCGCAAGTTACAAAATTTAAACTATTTTTGTACACAGCAAATTTTGCTTTAGATAAAACATCTCTTTCCTTATACTGATTCATATCGTTTGAGGTCCTTTAGATCAAAAAAAAACCTTATGAATTGTCCAGTTCATGTATAATTTTACAAGAATTAGCGATTTAAGAAATATTGATGATGCTGTGTTCAAGTCTGTCATTTTAAATTGCTTGTGTAATTTTCTGTGTCTGCTGCCTAAAGAGATAATTCCACCAAGAAACAGGATTACTTTTAAAATATTTCTTTTGAGCAACTTTTCCAACAGCTGTTTTCTTTGTTTTATTACTCCATACGTAGATATTGAACCCATGGAATTTGATGTATATGTGTGCACACATGCATGTATGTGTGTGCGTGTGTGCATGTGTTTACCCTATTGTCTGAAGTAATGAAATAACCTAAGGGCCTATAATTGATATAAAATTCAGAAGAGTAACTAAAATAAATGGAGGTTCATGTTAGAGAATTTATTTGGGTATGGTAAGTATGGTTGTTTTTATTGGATGGCATTCTTAATATATGAAAAGACTTAGGCAAAATGGAAATTTTATTTTAGCAAACTGTGAAAGATTTCCAATATACCTAACTTTAAAAACATAGTCTATTGAGTTTTAAAGTAAAGCTACGATAGCGGTCTAACATTTTGTTTCTAGTGCCTTGTTACACATCTTCTGATTAAAATCAGCTTTCATCTAAGCTTGCTTTTCTCCTTTTAAAATAGGAGCAAGTGATACTGCGGACACGTTGTTTCAAGAAGTATTAGGTCGAAAGGACAAGGCAGATTCCACTAGAAATGCACTCAATGTGCTTCAGCGATTTAAGTTTCTGTTCAACCTTCCTCTAAATATTGAAAGGAATATTCAAAAGGTAGAGTATATATTTATTTATGTACATATGGTTATAGATGTCATAAATTTTAAAGATTTGTTAAGATGTTTTTATATTCACCAAATGTCTCCAAAATGTTATTTTTTTATTTTAAAGGGTGATTATGATGTGGTTATTAATGATTATGAAAAGGCCAAGTCACTCTTTGGGAAAACGGAGGTGCAAGTTTTCAAGAAATGTAAGATTTGTTTATTAATTTTAGATCTTCTACTTTCCTTTTATAGGAAGACTATGGAATGTATTCCGCAAAGAATGTTATGTGAGTTTTAGTTTTTGTTTATATGGTGCTGTCTTTAAAATTTAAAACAATTACTTCAAAAATAACATAATGACTTTTCTTATTTGAGATGTATTGAAAACGAGCAAGCACGGTAATAGGTTAGTCTCGGACATTCTTTGCCGTTTGTTAACCACAAGGCTATAAAAAGTCTTTTTTACTGGGAAGAATCAATGACAAGTATTTATAGAGATGGAAGCCTGTGTTTTAATCTTCCCTCTTCAGAAAGACCAATATATTTAAGCATACTAACCTCATTTAAAGCAAACTCAACAGCTTTTGAAATTATCTCTAATACCAGAGATACAGAAAATAAGAAAAGCTTAAATGCCCTGTGGTAGGTAAAGCCTTGTCAGCTAGGAGAAGTATCACAGGGCTTTAATAAATTCAAAAATGAAATCCATAAGGCCTCAGAAAAGTTAATTTACTTTTTATTGTGGTAAAATTTGTATGCGGTGAAATGCACAGACCTTACGTGTTACAGGTCAGTGGGTTTTGACAAAAGCATACGCCCACATTACCTTCACCCGAGATAGAGCGTTTTGATCGCTCCAGAAAGGTCTCTTGTGCCTCTTCTCAGCCAGCCCTCACCCCACCAAAAGCAGCCGCTGTTCTGCTGTCTGAAATTTGGTTTTAAATTTCCACTCTACAAATCCTTGTACATGCTTTTCTTTTTTAATAGATTATGCTGAAGTAGAAACACGGATCGAAGCTTTAAGAGAATTACTTCTGGATAAATTGCTTGAGACACCTTCGACCTTGCATGACCAAAAACGTTATATAAGGTAAATCTTCTGCAAGAATTTTGATGAGTCACGTTTATCTGTTGGTACTGGATGCCTCATGTAACCTTTAAAGCTAATTTGGGGGAAATTAGGAGATCAGTGAAATAGTAAAAGGTCAGACAAATAGAAATTTAGGGGTGTCTAGTGTGGAGCACCAGGATTCTCTTGAATACAAATAAATTTGGGAGCAGTTATGGAGTACTCACTTTCTAAGGACAAGAAAATCCTGCTGGTTTGGTGAAAGGAAAGGCAACCTTGTCCTCCTGCTGAGCAGTGGGTTATCTAACCTGGGGGATGGTGCGGGCGTGGCACCCTGTTGTGTGAAGTAGCGGCTCCTACTTCAGAACAGAATGCCACGCTGGGTGGGAAGTCCTGCATTGCCACAGGAATGTGCCATGGCTCAACAGTAGAGAAGGTTCTGGAAGGTTTTAGCCTTGACTAGCTAATTTATAAGCCTTTCGTGATCAATGAAAGAGAAATATATTACTGAGTGGGAATATTTAAAAAAAATAGCAGTAATATTAAAAGAGGCGGACACCACAGGGTATAAAGAGGAGGAGGAGCCGGAATTCGTGTGTAGAACTAGCTGTTCACATTGGGCAGCTTACATGAGTTCCGGTTCTCAGTTTCTTCGTCTTGAGATGGACATGATGACGTGATCTGTGTCTCAGAGTAGCTACAAAGATAATCTGGAATACATTAAGAATTTAACGGCACCCGGCACGTAATGAGTCGTCAACAAATTTTATATATATGTAGTTTATACCAGGATTTGGGACAAAGCTTATAAATAATAAGCATTTTATATCTGCAATTAAAAAATATTAACTTTATTTTCTGCTGGAATATTTTGAGTGCGGCCTTTGTTCTCAGAATAAGCTGTTATTTTCCAAATTTACTGGTTTCTCTTCTTCGATTAGTGAAGTGTACTGAATATTCAGTAGTTATAAAATGAGAATAGACCATGTATGTATTCATGCATTTGGCTGCAGTCACCATGTGACCATTGAAAATAATCTCCAGGATGGAAGGAGGGTCGCCCTGCAAGCTGCCGTGTGTGCAGTTGTGGCAGGGACGAGGGCCCACACCCAGACCTGCGTCCTGGCGACGGGGCGCACAGTGGGGATGGCGCCCTCGTCACTGGCAGTGCACTTGTGTTGCCCAGGGGAATCGAGCAGAGGCTCTGGCGGTGGAATAGAGAGAGCCCCGAACTGCTCGCCGCTGCCGCGCGTGTGCAGCACACGTGTGTCCTCTCTAATCCTGACAGCCACACGAAAGGACGCCAGAATGGTGCCCGTTTTACAGGGGGAGGCAGCAAAGCTTGCCCGGCACACCGGCGAGGAGGAAGACACCTGTTTTTCTGGTCCCAGAGCCTACCCTTGCTTCTCTCCTAGCTGCCTCCATAAAGAAAGGATATGTATGGGGGATTTTCCTGGCTTGTAGGGTCCTAGAAATTTAAAGCTCAAAACAAACTACACATTAATAATCCAAATGCTTTATTTTCTGCATATAAAGAAACAGAGTTCCAGGGAGGTTGAGCATATTGTCCGGGACCTGCAGCTACCTGGTGTCCAAGTTGTCCTGATTCTAGCTCTCTGTGTCCGCTCTGCTGCTTCTCTGTCTGTGCTCTGTGTGTTTCCATACCTGTTTACATTGGCTATATTAAATTTGCCTACAGTGACACGTTAAAGCATATGAAGTGTGAAGTTTCTTTATGTAGTGAATTTCCATCCATGTGGATAACTGATGTGTAGTTCTTATGGCTAGTTAACTTACTGGATATCATTTAAAAGATGGTAGTGTTAAAAAAGATGCTTTTAAAGGGCCTACTTAACTGCCTTTTTTCTTGTCTTTTTAAAGGGAAAAGAGCAAGAATATCAACAGTTTGTTTTTTAATAATTATCTTATTTCTGATGCTTTGAGAAGATACTGAGCAGTTCTATTACCTTTTTAAATTAAATTTTTAGTCAATAGCAAATAGAAAAATAAGATCAGAACCAGTCAAATATGTGTTGGATTTTGAAATCTATGGTAATAGGTACTGTGAACACCAAGTGGGGATGGATAGAGACAGTTTTATCATCAACAAAAATATATCTGTATTAGTTTTCCACATAATCCGAGTTATGTATGGTAGGAGTGAAAATCAGATTACTCCTGTATCATCTTACTTTTGTTCACCATTTTATCTAATTAAAAACTTCCTGGCTATTTTCACCCTATTCTGTCTCGATGCTGGCAGGCAACGTATTAGTAACTTTAGCAAGAAGCAAAGCTCCGTATGCTCCTTTCCATATCAGCATGAACCTATCCCTGGGAGTTGTTAAAAATCATGTCAGAATATGGCTAAAAACTTCTTTAAGTTTTAAATTTTAAAATATTGAGCCTGTGTTCATAATTAACACTCTTTCTTGTTTTTCCTCCAAGAATCCTTTTTTAGAAAAGTATTTTTTATATTTAAAACAAACAGCAATAACATGTATCATATTCTCAACAGGGATCTTTGAAATAAAACTACTTATTTTTAAGCTGCATACTAAAAGGAAGAAACTTTTTGGAAGAGCCTAGCACAAGTTGTACTTTTGAACTGAAACACTCTAGAATTCCTAAGAGAACAACTTTATTTTTCTTTATAAAACTATTTTATTTCGATACCCATTAACAAGATGATAGAAAAAGTCTTATTATTAAATTTTGCCAGAACATGGTAAACACACTAAAGAGACTTACAGTTTTGAAAGTTACTAAACAAACAAGCTTATTGCTTTCTCTTGCTGTACTGCTGGAGAAAGAGCCCTGTGCTGAACCATCTGCATTCCGATACAGCAGTTTTAACAATTAAAGGGAAGTAGCTTCACTTAAAGAATATTCCTGTATTTTACCCCTGACACCATATCTGAGGGTCATGTGAGCGAAAGTGTTAGGAGAAAACGTTGGAGAATTAGGAGGCAGAACAAGTCTCTCTGGGAACGGTGCTGAAACCCCTTATCCCCGGCAAGGAGGAGCAAAATCACATGTTCTTCGAGAAGAGGCACAGTATGCTATTTGTTATGTTTCCATTTCAGATAACAAAAGAGGAAATCCTTGTGTGAGAAAAAGAAATCAGATTGGATTTGGCAGCTTTGAAACGAACTCCCTATGCCAAGCTCAATGTAATTTAACGTCCGATTGTAGTTTTTTCTCGGGATACTGTCCTCGTGTGAGGAGGAGTCCTAGGCGACTCCCTAATATGAGTGAACTTCTCTTTTAATTGACTTGTCACGTCCTCGACACAGGGACCCTCCTGTGTGCAGCCTTGAGTGGACAGTCACGGCAAGCAGGCGATGGCAGCCCCCGGCCACCCCTGCGGGCCGCCTGTGTGCTGGGCAGCACGAGAGCTCCTGGAGGTGCGGTCCGCTTTCTCCACAGCATTTCCTTTCTTGCTGACTGATTGCAACACGGATTTGTTTCTCTTCCAATGAGCTGCTGATTTGGACGTCTGAGCAGTAAATGCGACTGCTGGAGAAACGGGGAGGGAGGCGTCCCGCGTCCCTGAGGGATTCAGATTTGGCCCCAGGTCACAGCTCGTAACCACTGATGACAATTTACTGTTGAATGAAAATCTCTAAATTCAAGACAAAGGGCAGCTTATGGCTTAAGAATCTTTTTAAGACAGTAAATTCATTTGGACATGCTTTTGGATTTGATTTAGCTGTATTTGACTTGTTATATATTTTGTGAGGAGTGAGGGCCGAATGTTGAATAATATCTGATAGAGATTCTGCAACTGATATATATTTAATTGTGTATATGGGTTTGAGTATTTTATGCACAAAGAAGACTTTAAATATTTTAAGGAATATTTAAAAACTAAGAAAAACACCCCTCTGCACTACATTTTCTAGAGGAACATGTTCTCAGTCAGTCACGAGGGAGCGCAGGCCTCGCAGGTGAGTGCGCCGTCCCCCGATCGCTTCGCGTGAGAAAGCCCAGGGCTCACGCGGCCGGGCTCGCTGGCCGCCGACAGCAGTGCCACACTGCCATCTGCTGGCCGCGCTTCGTGCCAGAAAGGAATAAAAAACAGCTGAAATTTTTAAAATACTCGCCCAGTGTCCTCTGCCGGCTCCCACCTGTGTTTAGTGTAATGACTCTGAACTAAGTAAAAGCGCTCTGTGAACTGAATGTCAGTATTGTAAAGGAAGGTGCTCTCCAAGTAGGTAGGATCACTCCAGGTTGTCTTTGTCTTTTTAATTGTCTTTTTCCAAAGAGCTGATTAAAAAAAGTTCTATCATTATTAACTGCATGAAAAGAATATATTCCATTGAGAACTAAATGTTAAAGGCTAGTATTGACAAATGTTTTACTAATTGATACAATTTTAGCTTTTCTTTTTTTGAAAAAAGTAACGGTTTTAAAACGTGCTAGCTTTTCCTTTGGCTTCATGTGTCATAGAGGACACCTGCTTCATCAGCCTTGCACTTGCTTTGCAGGTATCTGTCTGACCTCCACGCCCCGGGTGACCCTGCCTGGCAGTGCATCGGAGCCCAGCACCAGTGGATCCTTCAGCTCATGCACACCTGCAAAGAGGGCTTCGTGAAAAACCCGAAAGGCAAGCACTTCTCTTCCCGTTTGTTGTGCTGTTCCTGCGTGACATGAACACACCTGGTGAATGCTTAGCGATCAAGGGCGTGATTGCCTAATTTTCTTAGTACCAGTTCTTGTTTTTTGTTTGTTTTCTCGTTTTTTGGCCACTGGCTAGCATTGTACCTAAGAGTGAGTGACAGAACAAGGATGGGCGAAAACTCTTTCACTATCTCTCATTTTTATGCTTGGCTGGCAGTGTTGACAAAGGTTTGCTTGAGGGGAACAGTTAGCATTTCAGGGGAGGCAGCATGAGGTTGTAGAAATGATAGTAGTCCTTGACAGATGACAGTCCACTCGCTGTTTTGTCGAGTGTATGTTGATCCCCTGCTGTGTGCCAGGCACTGTGCCACGTACTGGAGAGACAGTGGTGACTAAAACAGATGCAGTCCCTGCCTCACGGAAGTAGAGGAAGGGAAAGGCATTAACATGTAACTAACCAAATTAAATGTCGAGGCAAGTGATGAAAAGAAAAACAACAGGGTATTCTGAAGGGAAATAACTGAGGAGAGTGCTTTAGGTGGCTGTGTTGAAAAAGTGTCTCAGAGAAGGCTCCATGTTAGCAAAGGACTGGAAGGATGAGAAGTAGTTTACTGGCAGACTCTGGCCTGAGAAAGGGAACCACATGTGCAAAGGCCCTGAGGTAAGCTGGGAGTCAGAAGTCAGAGTTGTATTTGCATGAAGGTTTATTGACTTTTATTTGTATAATCCTATCATTAAACAAATATTGAATGTATCAGATGCCTGCTACCCTCCAGACGGTTGGGGCCTGGCTCAGTAAGCTCACAGAATAGTGGGGGAGATGGGTAACTGACTGTTGGGATATAACGTGCCACTTCCTGATATGGGGGAGGTTCCGAGTACTGTGGTGGCGCTTAGGAACAACAGCTGATCCAGGGTTTTGAGGTCAGGAAGTGACATTCTGAGATCTGAAGGAAGTGACATCTGTTTTGAGATCGGAAGGACGTCGGTATTGGCTGGTTGAAATAGAAGAAGAAAGGCTCACAGACCATTCCAGGAAGAGCAGGGAGAATGTGCACAGGGTCTCCAGCAAGAGGAGGCTGTTGACCCCGTGCGGCTGGAACCTAGAGCGGGGCCAGAGCGGTACGCGCTGAGGCTGAACTCAGGAGGCGCTGGGGCCTGACAGGCTTCGTTGGCCTCTCTGAGGGGTCCAGACTTTACCCAGAAGGCAGTGGGGAAGCTACGGGAGGATCTAAGCTGGGGAAAGACAGGAGCAGACTTGTTTTTCTAAAAGACTTCCATGTCGCCGATAGGTGGGAGGGAGCAAGCCCGAGCCGCAGAGCCTAGGAGGCTGGCACGTCGAGCAGCACCTGCCCTGGCGTGGAGCTGGTGGGCTGTAGAGAGGCACCTGGGTCCCAGGGCTGTTCAGAAAGGAGATCTGATGGGACTAGGCGATGGAAGAATGAGGAGGAGGAGGGTATGAAGGGTGACTCCCAGAGACGTGACTGTGGCAGCTAGCTAGGATGGTTGTGTCCTCCAGTTAGGGAACATCGGGGAGAAAAACGACCCCCCCTTTTTGTTGGGACGGGTTGATTTGGAGTTGTCGGACATGCAAGTGTAGATACCCAGTAGGTGGTTGGATTTAAAGAGTGAGAGATTTGGTGTGGTCTGTGTGCAGGTGGTCCCCAAGAGCTGACGCATTGACCCAAGGTGATCAAAGAAGAATACCTAGCACAGAACCCTGGGGAGCAGTGCTGAAGTGGCTGGTAGAAGATGAGAGGCCTGCGAAGGAGATGAGAAGGGTGGACACGAGACAGGAGGAAACAGGGAGGCGTAGTACCACCGACCCAGAGAAGGGGGCGGTCAGTGAGGTCACTAAGGCGAGGCGGAAGACGGGAGAGACGTGTCCTTGGAGCGCACACCGAGGCTGTTGGCGGGATCCTGAGCGCGGTCAGTGGCCCGAAACCCTAACTGGACGCCATAAATAGGAGTCGTCGTCCTTACCAGGTCCCCAGGGGGGTTAGGGGATGTAACATGACAGCCGTCCTGGCACAGAAGAACAACAGAGAGGTCACCATTGTTTATTTATAGCATGGTTTGTCATGAGTTCATTGGCTTGGGTTTGAGTTCTTTCTAGCTCTGATTCTGTTCTTTTCTATGCTTGATATTTAAGACAACTCAAATATCTCTTTATTGAGGCCATGTCAAAATTCCTATTAACATTGTTAATTATTTTATGTTTTTAGCAAAGGAAAATGACAGCAAGTGATATACGTAATCTGTAGTCTTTGGGAGTATTTAGAGTGCCTTACATATATGTTTCTGTGTTGATTCAACAAAGAATTTCTTAGTCTACCCTGTTTGTCGGGGCTCTCAACCTCGACTGCCTAATCAGAACCTGCTGGGTCTATTTATTAAATAACAACTATGAAGTCCCGGCCTCCGCCCTCTCTCTCCGTGCTGATCGTGTTAGAATCTCTGGAGGTGGGGTCCGGGCATCAGTATCGTTCAAGCTCCCAGGTAATTCCGTGCGGCCAGGGTTGGTCATCCGCGTGCTCGGGGCTGTGCCAGGAGCTGGAAGTGCGATGGCGTCAGGAGGCCGTTTAGAGCTTGTGGTCTAGTGAGAGAAATTTATTATTTTACAGATCACATAGGTATGCATTTAATTACAATTGTGAGAAGTGTCACGAGGTGGGGGGTACAAAATTTATGAAAGCATAGGACAGGAGGACCCAGTCTGGTTGGGGGGAAAGTCTAAGGAAGTTTCGAGAGGAGGCGATATCTTTGTTGAACCTGATTCAGTTCAGTTGACTTTCACTTCTCTAGAGGGGTGTGGAGAAGATTCTAGACAGCTGGCAGGTACTCAGCGACTGTCACTGCTCTTCACCATAGGTGATGATGAATATGGTAACCATAGTCACCAGACACTAACAAGATACATGGTCCGACAAAGGATTTTCCTTCCTGTGCTCATAGCAAACAATTTCAATACATAATTTGGTATGAAAATATTTGAATTTTGGGATGTGTGTGTAATTTATGAAGATAGCATAAAGACTTTCTGAAATTAGAAAAATTCCGGAAAATTTCATATATCTTACTGTTATATCTTCACCTGAAATATCTGATGACCAGTGTTTCATCACCGAAGGTCTGAAGCTTTCTTGAAGAAAAAGGGAGTTATACCCTTATTCTTCCTTCCCTAACATCTTAATGTTCCGTATTGCTGTATGTATTCATCCAAAACTGCTTGAAATCAGCATTTCGGGGGGGAGGTGAAAAAGCTTGTGTGTAGTTATTCACTCTGAGCAAGATTGTTGCAGAACTTTCTCGTCACTTGTGAAATAATTAAAAGAATGTACATGAAGTGGATCCATTCCCTAGTGATAAGCTTTACCTGAAGTTACTTTCATAAATTGGTCTTTTGATTGTAAAGTAAAATTCTTAGTACAGTACAACTCTTTGAACTTTATAATTTTTATGACAATACAACATAAATTTCCTAAATTCATTAGTCAAATATTTATGGGTTATATTTTAATGTTTCCTTTGTCATTCACAACATGCCTAACTGTTCCCTTCTGCGTTGTTAGTAAATGTTACTTATCTAAATGTCGGTAATCCTAACACGTAGGAGCCTTTTCGTTGGAAGATTGGTGTGGTCCTTGAGCTTTGGTCGGAAGCAGCTTTCGTTTCGTTGTGGAGACTCCCACACATACTCAGAGGCAGGAAGGCTGACACGACAGCATCCCGTGTGGCCAACCACGCTTCGGCAGTTACCGTCTCGTAGCCGCTCTGACTCCATCTGTGCCCTCCTCTGTTTCTTTCCCCTTCCTCGCCCTGGGTTATTTTGAAGCAGGTCACATCATTTCATCCATAATTAACTCAGTGTGTAATTTTCAGAGATAAGGAGTTTTTGAAAACTGTAACCAGAATACCATTATCATTGCTTAAAATATTATCAGTAGTTTCTTAATATTAAATATTCTGTTAGTTTTCAAATTCAGAAGCAGTTTAATATCCCCAGTATCTTTCTAAGTACATCGCTACCATTTCTTTTTAACTGATAGTGATACACAAATGATAAATGTGGCATAAATGCAAACAGAATGTGTGTTTCCTAGACTGGAAGAATTAGCCATTAGTAAAACATGGTCTGTCACAGCCGGCTTGCACTTAGGTATTTTTCCATTTGTGATCATTAGGATATGTATATGTCATTGGACACCTGTTAACTCTTTAATATACACTGATCTACTTTTACATCTACAGGTAATGTAATTATTAATATATATAGTGTATGTGCGTGTGTGTGTGTATATATAAAATATTTGCCTTAAGTATAAGTTTACTAGGAATAACCACAATTTTTCTTTTATATAATCTATAACTGTCGACGATGACTCTCGGTGGATATTTTATGATTGTCCTAATTATGTGTAACATACGTGTAAGGTAATATCGGGGAAGGTCTACTAAATATCATTTGGAATTTCCATTGGACATTCCCTCATAATTGTGGCATTTTAGATTTAGAAGAAAACTGGTAATTTGTCTTGTTCAGTAGGTGATTTTAGCTCTATTTTGCGCGTGAGGAAGGTGTCTCAGAGAAGCCAGGGGTCGGACCCAAGGCCTCTGTGTGCTGAGCGGGGTAGAATGCGTGCATGTCCAGATCTCTCCCTGTCCCACTAGACCGCACTCCCTCCAGTGCAGTGCGTTAAGGCAACATATTACAAAGCACCTCCCCGCATTACATTGTTGGAGCTCGTATTTTATCAAACGGGATTTCCGAACGTGATGTCAGAGCAGACCAGCATTTTACTGGCGGGGAAGGCCCGCTGGCATCTGGGGACGCAGATAGAGCTGGGCCTGAAACTAGCCAAGCTAGACAAACTGTTTCGTATCTCGGTGGCTATTTTTCTGTAAGTAGGTGAATTCTATTAAAGAAATTTTATGTAGACCTAATTACTAACCTCTAAAATTATATATTCAGTATAAATAAATGCT